TTTCCTGACACTCTTTTTTGTCTGTCTTTATATAGTCCCCTTTAGTTTTATATAGACTAACTTTTAACTTTTTTGCACTTATCTTTTATCAAATATTGAAAAGGTTTCTCCAAGAATCGTAATAAATATTATTTTCCTGTCTCAATGAAGTGAAGATTAAAAAATTTGTCTAGTAGAAAGAATTACGTATCATTTTATTAATGAGGAATATCACACGTTGTTCTGTTTGCGTAGTACGCGAAAAATTATACGTATAGTATAGATTAATGATTTGAAGACTCAATTGATTTTTTTTGTATAACTTGTTCTATGATGTTCATTAATTACACATTATTATAGGGTAGGTTGAACGATACATTTGCAATTGAAATGCTTTTTTTTTACCTTATAGTAGATAAAAAACAATATCATAAAGCAATTAATATTAATATATGTACATGTTTCTTTCTTATATGTTACGTGGTATTTTTCCCTTTCGAATCCAGGACACCAATTATCGATCATTTTCTATCATAACGAAATTGTCTATTTTAAATTATAGATATATATTAGTACGAGTAATAGATGCCATGAATGCCTTTTAATGATAATCAAACGTTCGATTATAATATTTTCAACGGACACTTGAACTTATTTGCATTATCGTTTAGACGATTAAAATAAATAAATAAGATAGAGAAACAGAGAAGATTTCTACATTTATGTTTATGTTTATGTTTTCAGATCAATTTAGAAAAGCAAATATGATAGACGTACTGCCAGAAAGAGGTGAACAAGAAACAGCCCTATCGGAAAGTTCTTTGAGAGATGCTACGGAAATTAAATATGCTCCTGTATATATTCAACCCATCGAGGATAATGACGAACTTACACCCATTCAAAAATTTTACAGTGGTCAAAGTATTTTTATAACTGGTGGAACAGGATTCATAGGAAAGTTATTAATCGAGAAATTGTTAAGAGAATGTCCCGGTATCACTTCCATTTATCTTTTGATACGTACAAAAAAAGGAAAAAGTGTGCATCAACGCATGAAAGAACTAACTGAAAATTCTGTGAGTTATTATATCTATTACAGGGATTAGTAAATTATTATTTCACCTTTGACACAACTTTGAAATTATCTCTTTCTATTAAATAATATAATTGGTATATAAAATAAAGAAATTTGAGAGACAAAGTAGTAGTCTATCATAACCAGTGGAAAAAATCGCAAAAAGTCGTTTTCCTGTCATTTATCATAACGAACGTGAGAGAGAAAATATTTACAACTCTATCAATTTTCCAGTTATTTTTCACTTTGAGAGAGAAACAACCAACTTTCCAGAATCGTATAGTACCAATCAAGGGCGATTGTACCTTGCCGAATCTCGATATCTCAATGGTCGATAGAGCTACGTTAATACGCGAGGACTCAATTATTTTTCATGTCGCCGCAACCGTTAAGTTCAACGAGAAAATAAAATTGGCGACAGAAATCAACATTTGAAGTGTAAAGGATATAATAAATTTGTCCAAAGAAATGTCAAAACTGAAGGTGCCACCTTTGTCCTCTGTCCTACGTATTAATATCAATCAGGGTCTTTCAAAATCTGACTTTAACGAATCTTTGTTATCCTAAAAATTTCAGAGTGTTGTGCATATATCTACGGCTTACACCAATTGTTTTCATATTCCACTTGAGGAGAAATTTTATGACCCACCGATAGATCCCGATAAGTTAATAAATTTAGTGAACTGTTTAAATGAAAAATTGCTCGACGATATTACCCCACAGTACGTTTATACCTCGGAATATCGATTGCTTAGTTTTATATTTATTTATAAAAAATATAAAATGAATAGATAGTGCACTTAATTACACTCACACAATTGTTTGATTGTAGATTACTCGGAATATGGCCAAATACTTATGTTTATACGAAAACAGCCGCAGAGAATTTTATAAAAAAACATGCTGACTCTATACCGATTGGAATATTTCGTCCAGGAATTGGTTGGTAGTAATATAATCCTTACAGAATAAAACAATAAAGGGTGTATGATAATCAATTTAATATTTCTAGTGATATCCACTTATCGAGAACCCATTCAAGGATGGATGGACAATGTGTACGGACCAACAGGAATCGTAAAAAGTGTTTTTATGGGTTTAATGCGAATTCTCCATTGCAATGGATCGATAACTGTGGACTTGGTACCTGGAGATTTGACCACCAATGGAATAATTGCTAGCGCATGGGAGATTGCAAATAATCGAATGTAACGACAAATACTCGAAACAATATTATTAGGATCAAATTAAATAATGATATTAGAAAATATTGAATTAATTCGTCTGTATGAATACATAATCTTTTTAGATCCAATGAAGATATTCCCATTTACAATTACGTATCAAAGGACAATCCATTGATTTACGGCAGATTTATAGAAATGATAGTTTCGTATGGAGAATTGATACCGTCTGAAAAAGCAATTTGGTGTCCCATCTTTGAAATAACAAAATATCGGTCGATCTATTTTTTCTACATATATTTTGTACATTTACTACCAGCTCTTATAATCGATACAATCTCTTTGTGCAGGGGTAAAAATCTAAGGTAAATTTCTCTTATCATATTTTCTGAAGGGAGCATATTAGAACGATAAAGAAGCGAAAAATTTCATCTGGCGATAATCCTTTTTGTTCAAGGTTACTCAGAATGTATAATAAAATTCACGAAATGTCAGATCTACTTAGTTATTTTTGTATAAACGAAAAAAAATTTACGAATGAAAGATGGAACGAATTGTTGAGGAAGTTGACGCCCGAAGATCGTGAATTATTCTTTTGTGATATGAAGGATCTCGTTTGGAATACTTATTTTGAAACATACTTCACAGGTATAAGAAAATATATCTTAAAGGATCCTATTGAGACACTTCCACAAGCTCGTATAAAATGGCGAAGGTATCTTTCTTATTGCATTTTTACTTCATTTTCCCTCTGTTATTGATAATCACTTTCAAATAATATTGATTTTTCAAATTTTCAAGGTTTTATTTGATGCATCAAACGTTGAAACTTCTTATCGCCTGTGTTCTATTTATCATCACATGTGCTGTGATTTCCTGGCTGCTTGTAACGTTTGGATCTCCGTAAAAGAAGCAAAAGAATGAAGAATAAAAATAATCATAGTTTAGACTATCGTCTATGTACGAATCAATAATTTCTTGAATAAAATATATCAAAGTTAAACGGTTTTTATTCGTGATATCTCGGACAGATATTTGGGTTGGAACTTTCTCCTTATATACTACGCTATTTATTGCATATAATATATACTTATTTTTTTATATTTAATTTTTATTAAATGTTAAATTGTGGCCAATGCTTAGCCATGAGTTTCATTCCTAAACTTCTTTGAAAAAATGTATCACTTTTACTGGATTTTCTCTTTCTTAGTAAAAATTAAGATAAAACGAATAAGACAATAATTCAAAATCCGTTCGATAAATACGTAATTCGGAATCATAACTACTGAGAATTGTTGCCGAAATACTTATTAATTCCTTTTCATTTTTACTGGTAAATTCATTATTTTGGATTTTTTTGTGAAGTGCATTCATCATACTGATCTCAAATCCCATAAATTTAACCAAAACGTCAAAAATTAATTTCTAAATGTAAAGTTTTTGAACTTTATGAGTTCCGTACACTGTTAATTTAAGCCTTCTATGGTTGAAGGGAAAGGCTACCTATTTCTACTAAACTTTATAGTTCAATGCAACAGTGAGTACATTCGATAACAACATCTGTACGTGACATGAGCATAAGTAAATAATGCTTGTTTCAAACATTTATAATTGTGATGAAAGTGCGTCAATTTATTTATGCAAAACGAGAAATACTTCCGGAAATAACTAAAATATATATTAATTTTATTCCCGTGCCATATTTCTCACATAATAAAAACATTTATGAACGGTCTTTTTCAATCGAGATGCTTAGCTGGATATCTCATATAATTTTAAAAAATCTATAGCTAAATATTGAAAGATACAAATATACAAATGTATACCAATATAATAAAAATATTGTCTCCTGATATCATGTTTATAATTATTTGTCGTTTAAAAAAGAAATGATACGATCAAAAGAAAACGTTCTTATGCCAAATAAATAAGAGTATTTATAAATAAAAATAAATTGAAAGAAGTCGAAATGGATTTCTAACAGATGTAAGGATAAATGTTGGGTTGAATTGGTTTAAAGAAAATCCATGATTTTTCTTTACCAAAGTAGGAAACGATTTCCTTTATCCTGGAGTTTATATTGATATCTAATAGTTACATTTTTATATAAAGATGTATGAACAAGATTAATAGAAAAATAGAGACCAAATAAAAACAAAAATTATTCTAAAAAATGCGTGTTAAATAGGATCAGCGAAAAGTATATGTGCATCGACAGAAATAGATTAAAAAATTGTTAGAATGATATGAAATCAATTAATGCGACATAATTGCATTGCCTGATGATACGAATATGTAAATGCAAAAATATAATAAGAATGAATGATGTAATATTTGAGTTTATAAAGAATTCAGAAAAACACGAACAGAAATAAGATGTTTTAAAGTTAATAAACGTAAATAATAAGATGCTATGGAGAATTTGAAAACATTAGTTATTGTAGTTAATTGTAGCACTATACCTTATATCTAAAAAGTATTTCAAACAAAATCATTTTCCGAATAGTGTTTTATTTTTCACAAAATCTACCCTATTTCTGGTAATTTTTCTCCAGGCACGCTTTCGGCATCATTATCGAACTTAGTATATCGTTCAGCGATTCTATTTTTAAACATGGCTGATACCATAGTGTCGATAAATAAGGAAGCAATATTTCGAGGTAACTTATGGTTTGATAGTAAAAACTACAAACTCGAACGCCGCCAAAATAAGCTTACACATTACTACCGCAAGATGTCGCCTAAGTTATTGTTTTGATTCTTCCACTCTTCTACTAACCAAAATAAAAGTTTTTTTAACTAAGATGTTCGTTCAACGTAATATAAGTTCTGGTTGTAAAGAAAACCATTGTTATCAATTAATTAGTAAAGTTGCTGACGTAAAATATTATTAAAATTAGAATCATTAAATGCAGTTTTGAAATATTATATTAAAATGAAGAACAGATCAACACGTCATAAATGGAAAGATATATTTCAGGTTATATTATATTATTAATAATGTAATAATTTTTGATAAAATTACATATTATTTAATAATATTCCCTATTGCTATAATTTAAATCGTTCTTTTGAAAATGTACATGACACAAGTATTTTCTTTGTGTAGTTTGCAAAAGGGAAGAAAACGACGAGGAAGTGGAAATGTATTTTTATGAAGCGACACAAAAATGGAATCTCATGAAATTAACATATGACTATTGTAGTTCTAAAATATAAATGAGAAAAATTATTAGAATTTAGTAATCGCTCGATAAGGAACAATACATCATCGAACGTTCCTAAAATATATATAGTTAAAAATTAAATGAGAGTAAGTATTACATTTTCTTTTTAGAAGAAATTGCAAGATAATAAACATTAACTTTAAAAAGCTTTAAAAAGTTAATGTCTGAAGATGTGATAGACTATACCGATTTTATTTGTAAAACAGACATTATAACTTTATTCCAATAAAAAAATGAATTCGTAAATCAAAATTTTATTTATACCAATTAAAAAGAAATATTCAATTTCAGCAACAAATTATCCAGGAAAACTCGGAATTATCTGCAAATGAAAATAAGCTTATCTCTAAAAACAGTGAAAAAGAAAACGAAGATGGTAATGACGATAATTAAAACGTGATGATGAAAATAATACTTTAGTTGAGCAAGACGAAAAAGAAAGAATGGAATGATATGAAATTAAATAATGAAAATATTTTATATATTTAGAAGATAAAGCTGAAACGACAGATGCACATTTGTTTGTCATACGAAAACATATTGAATTTTCGTATATTTATTAATATGTTATTTTCATGATATAGACCAAACTATAATTCGGTAGATATGCAACATTGGAGAATTATGGTTATGCTAATCTGATTGATACTTTCAAGATTTTAACTTGGATTGTAATCGAGCGACTACAAATAGATTTTCATTCATAAAATTCATAATATTAATGAATATATTTGTCAAAAATTTAATTTTCTTCGCATAGATCTCGAAGTAAGTTGAAAGTCATATTGTTTACTCAGATAACGATTATTGATTATATAAAAAGAGTTATACTTTACCTCTTGCTTCACTGATGAAATAATTAAGAAAAACTGTAGCTATAGAAATAATTGAGGCACTTAATTTGTTCTCAGTGGTATCATTCCATTTAATATTAATTAGGATCTCTATTCTAAGTACACAAATTTATTATGTTCAGAGAAATACAATATTCAAATGGGCCACTGATATAATGGGTACTATATAAATGCGAAGATTAAATGAAATACTTTTTAATGTAAAGTCTCTTTTTTTTTAAAGGAAACGTCCACGATTATAGAATCATCTACTTTTGGATAAATTGACAAAGGAGGTAACTTCTGTGACAAAGAAATAAATGCGTAAGGAAGAAAATACGAAATTCTATAGTATGAGACAACAAAACTGTAACAAGAAAAGATATATAAGTTGCAGATAATGTATCGTAATTAGTTCTGCTACAAAGTATGTCAACCATATATATGGTTCTTTTTATTTTTAATATGATTACCAACATTTATATTTCTTTATACATTTCATGAATTTGTAATTGTAGTTTGTGGGAGAATTGAAATTATCAATAATGGAAGAAACCTAAAATTATGCAACAAAGGAAGAAAGTAAACAAGAAAAAAAACGTGAGTAGTGAAATGTCTATAAGAAAGAGAATGTCAAAAGAAAGATCGAATTTGAAATTCTCCAATTATGCGTTTTATGTATATATGTATATATCATTACTTTTTAATTTAATGATATAGCACTGTCGGTATTAAAATCAATAATATCACTTATTAAAAGACTTTAAAAAATTAATATACTTAAAACTATTAAATACAATTTTATATAATAGTATTTCTGTTGTAGGCTTAGTAAACATCTTCAGTTATATGCACCTGCACCTCTGCTGACAAGCTTTTCCAAATTATAATAAATACATGGTACTGATGTAATATTGCCGCATCTTGATATATCTCACACTTTTCCTCTGTGTATCCACTGCTCAATTTCTTATTTTAAAGGAATAGTATTTTATCGCTGAAGAAGAAGAAGAAGGAAAAGCAGTCAGTTTTAATTCAGTTGTCAGCAATCTTAATTAGAGAATGTCTGAAATGAAACTTTCTAATCGGTTCATAACCCTGTAAATCTATTAATATATACATATTTGTGTCATATTTAATCAGTTTTTACTCCTTAAATTATATTAATTTCTAACGATTGACCTACACTATTTCTTACAAATATGTAGGAAGAGAAATAAACTTTGAGAATATTGGATTGTCAGAAAAAAAGCGTAAATAATTTTTTATTTCAAACCTACAGGTAATATCTTTTATTTTATAGTATTTCATACTAATTACATTCGAATTGTATTTTTTCTGTGCATATATATTTCGATGTAAGTTATTTCAAAAGTATTTCAATAAATATTAATATATTACTTTATTTTCTCGTACACTTGTTTATTAAGTTCTTTGAAATATTTTTAATTTTGTATCTGAATATAGAAAAAATAGCGGTTTTGTCATTTGTAAATAGTTAGGTAAAATTTTACAAAATATATATATATATTATAAAGTCAGTCATAAGTAATGAAATATATTAAAATTATAAATCATTTTGTATTAAATTAAAATTTATATTTTATGGTTGATCGAATAAAATGCAAAATTAGGTAGGAATTGAGAGTCACTGTTACGTTTCTCACAAGTGCTCAGATGGTCTGCCAGTCCTATATAACAAACTTCCAAGATTGAAATTACCAAAGTTTCTTCGTGTGTCACTTCGAAGCCACTAGCAGTGTTCGGTCAGTAAATATTTTTCAACTTGCTCTGAGGAAAGTCCGTTGACCTTCGACCAGAGTGTGGCGCCGTAACTTAGCTGTTTTATATAAGCCTTTTTCTTCGTCGTTTTTCTCGATTATAGAATAGAAAGCATTTGGCTGATCTTTTCGAGATTGGGCGAGAGTGTATTGGTTAAAGCAAAGTTTTTGATGTGTTCGAGACGCGGATTTCTATTCATCTTGTTTGGATGAATCTTTCGTATCTAACTGAAGGGCTTCAGCGAGGAAAGTTCTTCTTTTGCAATTATTTCCTTCTCCTTTTCGTGTTTTTTTATTTTTATAAATGGATTCTTAAATGCATTAAATAAAAACTGTTTAATTAATTTAATAAATTAACTTAATGATTGTTAGCTCGATGTTGAATAGAAAATATTTTGTAATACCTAACTGCAATAGATATTATTTAAAATTTCTTAGAATATTTTATTAAAAATGACAGATAATTTGCACATATTTTAATTTATATTTAAGTTAATTAATTTATTTAATTTTACTGTCAAATTTGATTTCATATAAAAATGAAACTTTACATTTCAATTAATTGATATAAATGTAATTTATATAAATGTAATTTGTATAAAATCTTAATAATACTATATATTTTGACTCGAATTAGTTTTATAAAAATAAAATTTAATTTAATTTAATATTAATTAAATATCAAAAATAGCATACATAAATTAAAATTTTGTTAATTTCATCTTATTGTAGATTATTAGTTACTATACTGATTCCCCCAACAAAAAAGGACACCTCCAAATCTTTTAAATTTAATAATTTATCATTTAATCTCTTATTATAATAGAGTATATAATCCTAATTTCAATATTGTATAGGGAGAAGCCTACTTTCAGGGGCAATGTGTAATATTTGTACTGGCTTTATGTAGAAAAAATATCTCAATATTATTTGTATTAATATTATTACAATATAGGAATCATAACCTATATTTAAAAAACAATAAATATTTCGGATACGAAGCAACAATTAAGATTTTGTTTCGATAAAATTACGAACTTTTATATACATTAATTAAATATATAAAAGGGTTAAACTTTGAAATTCTTCGTATTTATTATTTTCGAACCTACGTGATTATACTGAACTTGACGAATGGAATCTTCATAAAAGTCAGGAAATTGCTGAACATTCTATTAATTGTAAATAACACTCTAGAAGTTACTAAAGAATTGTTAATATTGTTGAATGGCAATAATTTTTTAACATTAATACTAAACGATTTGCAAAATTATCACATACGCAGTTGTAACATTTCAGCTTTACATATTAAAAAAGCTTAACAATTAATCGTCTGAAAAAATATATCATTTTTGTTTTTAAAAATAATTAACATAAATTTCAATCTAATCGTTTCATAGTATTACAATTAATTCAGAAAAGATATAAATTCATAACAAATAATATTGAATAACCGGAATAATAAAAATACATATATCATAAAATTCATTCATTTATAAAAATAACAAGCAGCAAAAATATATTTACATCAAGATAAGAAAATTATAATCGGAAAAAAAAAGTAGTATCGCCATTCAAAAAAATATTCTACTTTATCTAAAATCTATTATTTACTCCTTTTGAAATAATTATATTCAGTTTTCTTTCTTCCTGTAAATTCTTAATTCGAATATCAGTAAACGGTAGAAAAATTCTATTAAAATCGATATTGAATCTTCTATAGAGCGTTTGATTTTTTTCGAAGTATGTTTCGCAGATTTTTTTTCTATATTCTTTTTTCTATAATTTCAGCTGCTCTCGATAAGCATTAGATCTACAAAATTGTCTACTACTTTAGAAATAGGCATAAATTTTCAGAATTCTGGTTGCTTCTTTATCAGCATGGAAAATAAGTGGAAAGCAGGCATTGTTAAATTTATAAATCTTTCCTTACGTACATGCGTCTTTTCTTCCGTATTACTTGATTTTTAAACTCGTGATTATTCATTTTCCATATCTAATTTATAAAAATAAATTACAAGTGAAAACTTATATGCAGTTTCTATTGTGTCTTAAAGGTAATTATAAACATCGACGTGTTTCTAAATCAATTCTCCCGCCAGCGAATGAGGGTTGTATCCTAACGTATTAGAAATCAGGACATTTTTTATTAAATATTTTTATCCTGTGAAATTATTCCCTATTATGTTCAGATTATAAGTAATGGGAGATACAGAAAATCGAAGTCTTATGAATCGAGAACAATTACGGTGGAATCAGTGAGAAAAAAGAAAGTGTAATTCAAGAAATCTGATACAGTGCCTAAAATAACTTTAATGCATGTATCCAATAATAAACGCTGAGAAAAAAAATATATATTTATTTGGCTTATGAAAAGAAAATTAATAAACCTTTGAAATGTAGCCTTATCATACTCAATTGCTTAAATATTTTTATTTTTAAATATGCCTACGTTCTTTTGCATAATCAAAGTCTGTTTTATTTATTCATAAATAATGCATTTCTATTAGGCAGTTTTTATAATTCGAGTCCGCTTATTTATTCTTATGTCATGAGTATGAGCAAAAAATTCGATACGCAATGACACAACTTTTATTTGAAGATTTTTTAGAGAATCATAAATGTAAAAATAAATATTTTATCGAATAGCATGTAAAAGAACATTACTATTAAAATATTAAACTTCTATTGATAATTTGTACGTTCAATTTCGTTTAATTTGATTTAATTTTGTTATAAAACATATGCCAAATTTGTAATTATTATTTGATCCACGTAAAATTATTACATAAAACAAATCTGTAAATATGTTATTTAGTTTTACGTGAGTTAATACCGTAAATTCGTTATATTCGTTTTCAAGAAATATATTTAATCAGTTTAAGTAATTCTTACTAAATTTAATATTTCCAGTAATATTTTGTTCAATTATATTTGATACTTTTTGTTTAAATTTTAGACAAAAAATGATTGTAAAAATAATATCAAGAAACAATATTTCCAATATTCATACATATTGAAATAACAGAACATTGAGGTATTCAAGTATAGACTTTTGGAAATTAGACGTAGTATCCAACTATTCGCCTCGCTTTACACATTTCATGAATGTTTTAATATACGAGTAGCCATGTATCCTGCTTTGGAACACTTTTTCTATTCTTTTGATCATTCTTCATAAATTCGAAAATGTATTCCATTGTAATTTTTTACAACACTTCCATTAAGGCAAATTATTAGATAACTAAATAGAGAACATATGCCGTCTAAATATTAATTTTAATGTTAACATTAACAAAAAGATAGACAAACAAACCAATTGAAGATTTAAAAATTGAAAACTTGACAAATTTCATATGATCTAATACTTTGTCCACGATAGGTACACGTTGAATAATTGCAGTTTTAATGCGTGAATACAAAAAAAAAATTATCATAGTTTAATATACAAAACAAATAGGGATCTATTTCGCTTATATTATTTTTTTATTTATCATTACATCATTATATTTGAATTCTACCTTGTTTTATTATTACCATATGTTGGTTTGAATGATTATCCTTACTTAGCTGAAAAGAAATGCAAGCATATATTGGATGAATTTTTCTTCCATCGTTTTGTAGATGAGCAAATGGAATTATTCAGGATACGAATTATATTCGAATATAAGGAAAAATAGCAAGAGTGTCGAAAAAGATCAAAAATTGATCAATGAAATGTGGTAGGAGAAAAAGGTTAAATACTTTTGGTCGTTTTTATATTTCAGTGCAAAAGTGAGATTCGTTCAATCAACACCTACTACTGTCCTAAGGAATAGAAAAAAATTTCTACTCCGAATGTTCATAACTTTACTGTAAACCCGTCTATTTTAATTCTGCCATATGGAAAATAATTCTGACAGTAAGTAAATTTTATTAAGTATACACTTAAAAAGAATATGTTGTATGTGTTTTATTTATCATCACATGGGTTATCATCTCCAGACTTCTTGTAACGTTTGGATCTCCGTAAAAGAAGAAAAGATAAGCAAGAGAATGAAGGATAAAAATAATTATAATTTAGCCTATGTCAATAATTTCTTGAATAAAATAAATCAAAATTAAACGGTTTTTATTCGTGAAATCTCGAACAGAAATTTGGGTTAGAATTTTCTCCTTATATACTACGCTATTTATTGCATATAATATATACTTATTTTTTTATATTTAATTTTTATTATGGCCGAATATTTAACTACAAGTTTCATTCCCAAACTTCACTGAAACCATGTATTTTTCTGCATTTTCTCTTTCTTAGTAAAAATTAAAGTAAAATGAATAAGACAATAATTTAAAGTTCGTTCGATAAATACGTATTTCGGAATCATAACTGGTGAGATTTGTTGCCGAAATACTTATTAATTCCGTATCATTTTTACTGGTAAATTCATTACTTTTTTGTGAAATGTATTCGCCATACTGATCTCAAATCCCAAAAATTTAATCGAAACGTTGAAAATTAATTTCTAAATGTATAGTTTTTGATGGTTATATATTGCGTACACTGACAGTTTAAGCCTTCCGTGATTGCGGGGAAAATGCTACCTACTTC